AATTCGTGATGAAGTATTGTTAAGGTGGTCCTCACAATGGCCAAAATGATGATACGTTGTGCATTTGGACACGTATTAATGTACTACTGATTTTCCCACCACAATCACGACACTTACGGTAGGTAAGATTGTGTGCAAAGACCATTATTTCCAAGGTGCTCATAATGAATCAAGTACTCCACGACCATGAAACTTGATTATTACAACTAGATGTGTGTGTGATGGGAAACCCGGAGAAACCTCTGTCGCCATAGCAACACACCACTAGGTCTGACGGGGTTCTCGCTGTGAGGAGAGGATTTGTAAGGGTTAACCACCACGTGGGGTCCGGGTCCCCTTTTCCGGACTGTTAATTCACATTATCTCTTTTTCCGTGAGTGCGAGTACGAGAAATGGACAGATCACACATTCTCTTCTTTTATTCCCGTTGTCATGACATGACTCACAGGATATTAATCGTCCCTCCATGTTTCTGTCCAATTAAGCAGAGCTCTGTGGAAATGAGGCTGGCTCCAGAGATCTGAGAGGAAGTCTTTAAAAAGACCGGAGTGATCTGGCTCACTCTGATCTGGTCTGTGGCTAATGCCTCTTTATGAGTCCCTGGATAGTTGGAGCCCAGGAAACTGATTAAAACGGGACTGGAAACGTGCCAGAGTACAATGAACTTGATGCGTGTGACATTCTCCCATGAGTGACCTTTAAAGGAACATAATTGTTATTTACAACTTAATGTGTGTGGACAGCTACTGTGGTGTGATGTCAATAACCACAGACGATTATATTGACTCGGCATTCAGTGTCTATAAATGTACTGGAAACACGTTCACAGTACACTCACTGAAAGACAGTTAAGAACCTTTAAAGGGATACTCCACCGTTTGTTTGTTTTTTCATATTAAACTATGTTATTCTCTTAACAAAGACGAGTTGATAGATAGATACGTATTCTTGGCCCATGTTGAATGAACTTGGCTAGTTAAGTGCTATCAAAGTGCTCAAAGCGATTGAGTGCACTCACTGAGACGACAGGGTTAAGGGAATAGTTAAGGGAATAACATAGTTTAATATGAAAAAACGTTGGAGTATCACTTTAAATAAAGAAATAGAATATCTATATAACCATAAGACTGAAACATTGCAAGTTACCTTTGAATAATGGCATAAAGGTTCTGACACACCAAACTAACACTCGGCCATTGTTGAGCGTCAGCCGGGCCAGTTTTTGAGGTGTGTTCCTCACCGCAGCCACTAGTCGAATCTTGTTGGGGGCTCTTTGAGCATGTTGAATGTTGAGCATGGTGACAAAGGGCCAATCCCAATTCTACCCCTTACCCCTTCACTTTCCCCTTCCCCTCCGTTTTGCGCGTCCACGTGAAGGGGTAGGGCTGTCCCAATTCTCTTTTGGTTGGAGGGGGAGGGCTAGGGGGAAGGGCCAGATAGCCCTTCAAACAAAGATTTTTCGGGAGCCCACTTCAAACGAAGGGGAATGAGAAGTGTCACTGCTAACCCACATTGTACGTCTCCTCTCCCCGAACAAAGCACACAAGCTAGTCGTCACTTAAAGATCGTATTTACGAGTTGAACGCACATGAACGCCGCACAATTTAACATTTAACATAGTAAATAAATAAATGAAATGTGTTTATACAACACCGTTTTACAAGTAACTTAGAGCTTCTAACGTTACAGATTTGTGGTTAGCCTTTTTGTTAAAATTGCAACTAAATGTTTTGCAGCAATCATACATACCATAAACTGATCCACCAGCAAACTTGGGCGTCGAAGATATCGTCGTCTCCGTTGTTTCCTGCGAACTTCACAAGAAAAATGCAAGAAAATAGCTGTAACCCACGCGACTGAGATAACTGCAGCTGTCGACGGCATCTTGGAAGTTGTGATAAACATCGGCGCATCTCCTGTGACGTAGGCGCTAGCGACGACTTATAATGACGTTTAACGGAGGCGTAGTGGTGTCCCATTTCTTAGGGGAATATTTTCACCCCTACGCATTGCCACTCTGTTTCAAGGGTCAAGGGGAAGGCGAAGGGGTAGGGCTAGGGGAAAGTGAAGGGGTAAGGGGTAGAATTGGGATTGGCCCAAAATGCCAGACCAATCATTTAAGAGCCGTTTACACGACACCGCTTTAAACTAAAAACGTTAAACTTTGAATGTGTTTTGGCCATTCGTTTACACGACAACGACGTTTTGGGAGCCTGAAAACGCAAAGTTTTGAAAATGGGTTTCAAATTGCACGTTTTTGAAAACCGTCTCCATGTAAACAACATAAAAACGTGAATCTCTGAAGACAATCACGTCATGGACATGTGTATTGCGTGTTCAGTCTAGTGCGTTTCATGGCAATTTAATGGCCTGGCAAGAGAATGCAGCGTTTTTAGTCGTTTTCATAGTTTGGACAATGGTGTCGTTTGTACATGGAAAACTCAAAGGAAAAACATCTCCGTTTTAAGCAAACCGCCATGATGTAAATGCACCCTTAGTCTGCATAAACCACACCCCTTTCTTAATAGACTGCAAGCTCACGTTTAGATCTGCCTTTATCCAATCAACAACCAGCAGACAGATTTGAACTGAATCTAATGTTTTTTCTTTGGAAGATAGTAGCCAAGCTAAAACACTATTGCTTTCTATTTGTGCCCATGCATGAATTCCAGGGTGGGATATGGAAGTAATTTGATTTACCATAAATCAAATTTGCCGTCTATAATCAAGTCAACCACATCTTGACTTGTAAATAGACAGGCAAATAGTCAGAGGAATTGTAGTTTACATCATTAAACTTTTGTTTGCAGCTTTTTTACCATATACAGTATGAAATTTGAGCTAAACTTGAATGAAAGACATTTTTCCATCTTTTGAATGTGAATTTTGATGTTAACCCAGATATCAAACAATCAAACATTAAGTCAACGTTGGCATACCAACATTCATTGTTTTCTGTATGGAACATTGCGCTAACCACGACAAAGTCAAGGGTTCGAGTCCTTAACTATTCCTTAAATTCATTGCAGTTTGCTAAATATGAACACATAAATGCCATCGAAATAATCATAATCTGCTGTTGAATTGACATAATTCTCAGTTAACGATGAAACAACTCTGAAATTTAACCCCTTAACTGTCACCGTCCCGGTACCGGGACGCCTAAATTTACTTCACTATATTTCTGTTAAATCCTAATCTAATTATGACAAATTATATATCGTTGGAAAGGTATAAGACTTCTAAATAGATATTCTACCCCTGTTTTGTGTTAAATTATGTAGGAAGAGTAATTGATTAATTTATGACAAGAGTGCACCTCAAAAAATCTGCATCATAGCAGGAGTTTTCACCTTTGTCACAAAAAGTCGATGCACCCCCTTTTAATCATTAAAACTTCTGTTTTTATGCTAAAAGTTCATAATAAAACATATAATCTAGTATTTTTCAATAAAAAATAAAACGTATAGTATAATATTATCCTCTAAAAATGATAATATTTATATTTATTATCCTCTAAAATATAATAATATTTTTTATTTTTTATATTTTTTATTATATCACATATTTTAGTAGTTATCATAAATTAGGTATCATTTGAAAGCTTATAAACTCAGAATTCATCGTGTGAAAACTGTTTTATAATTGAATGTTGCATTACCATAGAAACGGTACTTATTTTATCAGGCTCCTCCCCTTTTGGGCATCATTTTATTTCATAATTTATGATAAAAAACTTTTCTAATCTTGACAAAACTGATATGGTCAGAAAGGTCAGAGTCTCAAGGTTCCAAATTTTGTGACAGAATTGATATTTGGACAGAAATGTATTAATTTGTTAAGGCAGAATGTATACAACTAAATTCAATGGAATTCAATGGTACCCGGTGGCTATTTTTGGTACTACGCCTAAACAAAATCTCATGGGAACTTCAATTTTTGTGATATCAACTTCAAATTTGGAACATAACTTGATAAGATTTATGGCTTTGATTTTATAGAAATTTTAGAGTAAAAAATATTTAGTAAAATATATATTTTATATAAAATAAAAAATATATAGTAGCTACAGTATATTTGATTTACTGTAAATTTAAACTTCCATAACTTTGTCATACTTTCATTTTTTGAATTGTTTTCACTTCAGCAATAATCTGCTGAGTGTTTTCTTTAAAAGAAGACCAAACTTGGGTATGTATTCCAAAGCATTCTTAAATTACAACCATTTAAGTTTGAATAGTTGATTTTAACCCCCATTCTCAAAAAGGGGGGTGACAGCTAAGGGGTTAAATCTCAACCAAAATTAAAAAACGTGCTATCCTCAACGATGGCTCAAACTTAATATTTCTAGCACTTCTCGTGTTTATTCCCTCTTTAAGAAGAATCACTTGTTGCGTTCCTCAATTTGAAAGACGCTTTGGATAAAAGCCTCTGCTAAATGAATAAATGCAAACATTTTTACCGTGGAATCCATTTAAGTGCTCTACCAAACACAAGAGCTTCCCGTTTTTTGCTTTCAAACCATCTAGTGATCATTTGTGCTAGTAAACACATTTGAATTCCTGTTTGGAAATGATTGGCCGTGGTTATTGGCATCTTGCCGCTGCAGATGCCGGACAGGCGTCGAGTCGAACACGAGCTGGAATATTCCTCTACGGTCAGTTCCAGATCTCTGTTTGTAGAGCGTGGACTGGAATGAAAAGCACCAGAGAATTGGCTCCTCCTGTTGCGTTCTCCCTCGCTGTGGAAGTCATTTATAATTCTGAATGGCGAGGTCAACCACAGCCGCCTTGCGCACAAATGGCAACATCATTTCCTTCTAAAGCTGTTAGAGTTTAATATAGCAGCAGCACTTTCTATCTCTCGTCTAATTGCTTTTTATTATTATTACGGCGATGGCAATAAGTCTAACTTTCTTGCCTCCTCTCTCATACATGTCCTCATTATCTGTCCTTCCCCCTTCCCTCTCCTCTCCAACCAAACATCATCATTCCTTTTAGAGTGCAGGTAGAGTTCTATGTGAATGAAAACACTTTCAAGGAACGTCTGAAGCTGTTCTTCATCAAAAACCAAAGATCCAGTGAGTTCTCGGCCAGACCGAGGGGCGACTCTAATTGTGGCTTTCCTTGTCCTGTGAGGTGGTAGTTTGTTTTTGCTTGACCCCTGTGAGTGGCTCTGTGGAGCTGGTGCTGGGTAATTGGTTGGTCTTGTATTTGTCAATGGCCGTTTGATGTGCTGTCCTCTAGCTGTCGTGTCCCGTCCGTGAGTATTGGGCTTGGTGTGACTGTTGCTTGTGTAGCTCTTTTGTAACGCTTTGGTGACAGACTCACGCTCTTGTGTGCAGGTTTGAGAGTGCGACTCTTCAACTTCTTCCTGAAGGTTGTGAGCTGCCTGCTCTACATCGTACGAGTCCTGCTGGATGACCCGCGGGAGGAGAGAGATTGGTGAGACACTGCCAAATGGGACGGAAGATGCTTTTGCTCGACGTGAAAGCTATTTTAGTAGACAGAACAACTATTCAGCTTGTTAAAGGGCACCTATTATGGCATTAACATGTTCCTAATATTGTTTTGGGAGACAAAAAAACACTTTTGAAAACAACACAGGATGTTTTCGTTCACTTGATCTATGTTACACACTACATGACAGGTAATTTTCAAAATTCCATAATAGGTGCCCTTTAATATATTTTGTTTTGGACATATTCTAAAAGTGCCTCATATTAACAAAATTTCACCTAAATTTGATGTACAAAAAACGTTTTTTTGGTTGCTAACAGTGTTGTAGTCGAGACCACCTCACTCGAGTCCGAGTCGACACCGAGACCAGAGAGAGTCGAGTCCGAGTCAAGACCGAGTCCATAGAGAGTCGAGTCCGAGTCGAGTCCGAGACTAGAGACGGTCGAGTCCGAGTCGAGACCGAGACCGAGACCAGTGAGGGTTGATTACCTAATTTACTTTTATTTACTTAGAGAAATCCTTTTTTTTTTTTTTTTTTTTTTTACTGAATTTACTTAGAGTTTAAAAAATATGATCAGTTAGGGTAAAAAGGCCACATAGTAGGTGGTGTTAAAAGCAATTTTATTACAATTTGTCATGCGCAGTTGCGCACTAGAAAATCACCAATCACTGGGCGTGTCAATCAATTTAAAGAAATATTTTATTAACATACGTTAATAATCATGAAAAATATTTTTAATTGAACTCGAGTGGACTCGGGAATAATTCCGAGTCCTAAAAAAAAAAATGTTCGAGTACGAGTCAATTCCGAGTCCAAATGGACACGAGTCCATGACAAGACCAAGACCATTAAAATATGGTCTCGAGACCGAGTCCGAGACGAGTCCGAGTCTCGAGTACTACAACACTGGTTGCTAAGCTTAGCTAGGGTGACCATATTTTGATTACCAAAAACCAGGACACTCGGCCCGGCAAAAGATTGGCCTACTCAAATGATACTCGAAGTTTACTCAAAGATACCTTATTAATTTCAATACATTTAAAGTAGGTTATGCCTCCTCTGTATGGATAGAAAATGGTATATGAAAACAGGACAGTTGGTCACCCTAGCTTAGCTTAGCTTAGCAACATGCTAACTTCACACTCAGCAATTATTTGATTGTTTTTTTTTTAAGAAAGTTAAAGTAGAATTGAACTTTATGAACATTGATTCTCCTGATACGTTTGGAAACAGCGGTCGAGTAGGAACAACAATCTTTAATCTTTAAGGTCGCGTTTAATCGCTTGAGGACAAGGTCACTGACTAGTTGTACTGTTGCTTTTGCTAGTAGGTGTTCCTGCTCAACTGCAGCCATATAAGTCAAATATCTGTCCTCATTTCCATTGGTAGCCACTACATGACATCACTTCTCATTTGCATAAAATTGAACTTTGTCGCATCACCAGAAGAGGTTGTCACTCAGGGCACTGGGAATCACTGGGAGAGTGAAGAAGATAGACAGGTATATACAAAGAAACAAGTCAGAGTCTGAGTGTAAATAAAAAACAAACAAATAAATAAATAAAACACATATTTTCTGCCAAAGTGCTAAGGAACAAGCTGATGCCAAAGAGATGCAAGTGAACGACAGGACCAGAGAAGGACGGTCAAGAGTGAAAATCTATTTTCAGTTCAGAGAAGAGTTCATGTGGTGTTGGAGAGGGAGTGTGTGGGTAGACAAAGGGAAAGTGAGATCTGGAGAAGACTGAAGTGCCTTTGGACAGTCAATGCATTAAAAAGCTAGTCGTTGGAACTCTTTTCTGTGTGTTTTTCCTTTCTCTGCAGTCCTGGCTGTCTCAGACAGAATGTCTCTGCCCACAACAGAAGCCATTTCGACTGGTAAGTATTATTCAGGCTCTTGACTCTGGAATGAGAAATATACATGGCGGCCGAGGGCCAGATGCGCACAAAAATATAGCCATTTTAATAGAGAAAAGCTGAAGAAAATCAATACAAATTTAAAAAATGTGAATCTCCACTTTTGAATATGTTTATCAGGAACTTTGCTGCTCATCTCTTCTGATTTTTTTTATATTTAGCTTAATATGGGCTATATGCACGCATAAGTTCCGCATTTGACGTAAGGATGCTCGTCCATTTGCGCTTGTGTAGATTAAAGCGGAGGAAAACCGGAGGAAAACGGGATTATGGCAGAGTCTTCAATATTTACTGTCCTCCCGTCTTTGAAACGAAACGTACATACGTTTAGATGTAATTTTATATATAGTTATGTTTATTTAATATAATTTTAAAAAGAAGCATAAACACAACGAGGGGTGTCTGTTTTATCTGTTTTTGTGACTAACGTTTCTTTATTATAACCATGGAGTATAAAATTCAGTATAAATTCTCGGTATTAGCATTGGACTCTACGATCGGCGGAAGTTATCGAGCATCCTTAATCCTTCACCGGAAATAACGCCGTGCATAGAGCCCATACCCTTGTGAAAAAGAAGTGTGCTCTGAATGTCCAAATCCTTTAAAATACAAATATGTCCAAATACTTCAAATCATATATATATATATGTGTGTGTGTGTTTAAAAAAACTACTTGCAGATAATATTAATGTAAGACTAAGCCACTTATTTGCTGTTTCTTAACACATTCTCTTTGTGATCATGTAAAATTAAAAGTTATATTTTAAAGCACACATTAAATCATTGTTTTAAAGTCCCCCTGATTGAAAATCAAGCTTATAATGTTGTTTATATGTCTATGTGGTGTTTTTATGTCAACACCATGCAGTGAACCAAAGACAGTCTGAAAAAAACTTGGTTTGAAATCGCTGGTGTTTCTGACGTCACAAAGTACCTTGTAACCAATCAGGTCAACGAGTGGATCTCTGGGCTGGTGTGAGTGGAGGCGGGGCTAATTTAAATATTCATAGAACCGTGAATACTAAATGAGACGAGTGTAGAGTTATATTCAAGACATTTTAAGGCATGAAAAAAAATGTCGGAAATTTTTTTCAAATATGTAATTTTGGTGATCAAAGTTGAGTTTTAAGGGATACACTTATTGGCTACAGGTGGAGTTTAATAAACTTGTCATGATTTAAAGAAGTACACTGATTTGGATGTTGATGAAAAGTGCTTGATTATAAAATTGTTGTGTGTTATTCAATATTACATTTAAAGTTTATAGGCTGTCATTTAAATGTAAACTTCATCGCTGCAAATGTGTGATTACAAATATTTAAATACATGAAATAGAAGTTTCAATTCAACATTGAAGTATATTTTAGTTTAGCATAAATGTTTGTTACTGTACATTCGCCCGTATACTTGAACCATATTTCAAAGACAACATTATAAAGATGTAAATAAGTCTTACTCGCACTCTAAAAGTTCAGCTAATACTATATAATATAAATGTAAACTATAAATCATTTTCTTTTATTGCATAACCTTGGAGTTAAAGGAATAGTTAAAAATGAAAATCCTGTCTTCATTTACTCATCCTCAAGTTGTTCCAAACCTGTATGAATTTCTTTCTGTTGAACAGAAAAGAAGATATTTTGAAGAATGCCGGTAACCAGACAGTTGATGGACCCCATTGACTTCCATAGTATTTTTTTTCCCCTACAATTGAAGTCAATGGGGTCCATCAACTGTCTGGTTACTGATAACCATACAGGTTTGGAACAACTTGAGGGTAAATGATGAAGTCAATTATTGCTTTTAGTCTCTGAAAACATTACATTCTGTTCACACTTGAGTATATTTTTTTAATGAACAATATTTCCGTAAGTACATTTTTAAAGGCATTTCTTTTTAACAAGGGTAAAGCTGCTGTGGGACTCCAAACCACTCAGTTAAAGGAGTAGTTCACTTTTTTTAAAAACTTTTGCTGATAATTTACTCACCCCCATGTCTTCCAAGATGTCCATGTCTTTCTTTCTTCAGTCGAAAAGAAATTAAGATTTTTGAGGAAAACATTCCAGGATTTTCTCCATAATCCACTTTACTGGTAACCAAACGGTTCAAGGTCCAAAAGACACATTCAGTACAAACTGTTCAAAGGGCTTTAAACGATTCCAGACGATGAATAAGGGTCTTATCAAGCGAAACGATCGCTCATTTAAAAAAAAAAAAAAAAAAAAGTTTGAGTTTTATAAGCTCAAATGGTCGCCTTGCTCTGTTCTGTGATGCACGTTCGTGACTCTCCTGTTCGAACTTGTTCATCAAAATGAACAAATCTTTTCCTTAGTCAATTCATTCATTTCGTTCGTTGAATGAACCAAATGACACGGAAAAAGATTTGTTCATTTTGATGAACGAGTTCGAACAGGAGAGTCACGAACGTGCATCACAGAACAGAGCAAGGCGACCATTTGAGCTTATAAAACTTAAACTTTGTTGTTGTTTTTTTTTTAAATGAGCAATCGTTCCGCTTGATAAGACCGTTATTCATTGTCTGAAATCGTTTAAAGCCCTTTGAACAGTTTGCACTGAAACTGTCTTTTGGACCTTGAACCGTTGGTTCCCAGTAAAGCGCATTATATGGAGAAAAATCCTGAAATGTTTTAATCAAAAACCTTAATTTCTTTTGGACTGAAGAAAGAAAGACATGGACATCTTGGATGACGTGGGGTGAGTAAATTATCAGCAAACGTTTTGTTTTTGTTTTTTTTAAAGTGAACTACTCCTTTAATGAAGCACGAGCAGAATGGTTTTTAACCGACTGTGATGTTGTGCTGGGTGTAGCCCCGCCCACAATCAAATCTGATTGGTCTAAAATTGAACTGTATGTTAAATATCCAACATGTTGTGACTGTCTGTGATTCAAAAATACTTTTTTTTTTTGCTAGAAATAAATTGTGTTGTGTACAGTTAGACTGTTTTATGACATGCCAGCAGTAGAATTGATTTATTGACTTCAGGAGAGTGCACAAGAAGTCTCCCTGACCTGTTTAACAAGGCGGTCAGGTTTTTGCTATTTATTAAGAGTCAAAACTGCTAGCACTAGTCTGTAAGCATTTAATGGTGTGTGTCTGACAGGATGCCACTCTGCTCATTACTTTAATGCAGAATACACACAAGCCAGCTTTGATTTCTTAATTTGAAACGAAAATGTCTGTATGAATCTGTTTATTGCTCAGGCATTGTAAATAGATTGGATTCTGTAATTGGTGTGTTTGTTTGACATGTGTGGGGGAAAAGTGTTCAATTATTGGCCTGCCCTTATCCGAGCGTCTCTAATTTGTAATTTCCCTTTCATTCTTTATCTCATTTTGTCATTATAATGGCTTCCTGTCATCAGGTCCCTCATAATTTGGGTGAACAGGCCTCTGCCACTTTGGGCTCTTCAGGTCAGAACAAACTCATTAACACACACACACACACACATACACTTGTGTTTCTTCTACAGGCTCTTTTGTCCTTTGTGTGCATTGCCCCATTCATTTTCAGATTCACAGTCTCTCTTCTATTCACAAATTTTGAATCCATCATTTATTTGATTAAAACTAGCTCATTTGCTACTGATACAGCAGGAACCAATCAGCCTGTGCCGTCAGAACTTTGTATTTAACTAATGATAAAAAAAATGAAACCTTATTGTAAAGTGTAACCAAATAATAGTTGCAAAAAATACATTTTTAAAGGGATAGTTCACTTTGAAATTAATTTTTGGGATGTTTTTGTTTACCTCGAGGGCATCCAAGATGTACAGTAGGTGTCTTTGTTTCCAAAGTATTTTCAATTTTGATATATTTAGGTCAAACCGTTCTTGTGTGTCAGTCTCATAATGGAGGTCTATGGTCACCACCTCAAAGAGCATGCACAGAGAAGTCCAAATTAAGCATGATTTAATGACTCGTAAATGTAAATACACATTGATGGCATAAGACACGAAACAAGACACTTGCCGGCGCACTTGCGCAGACAAAAGCATCCTCGCCCTCAGATCACTTGGACGTGACTGTGATTACACGAGGTAAAAACTATATAAATACTGTTCGTTTTCTCACACAAACCGCTCGTTTCATGTCTTATGCCATCAATGTGTACTTACATTACGAGTCATTAAATCATGTTTAATTTGGACTTCTGTGTACGTGCTGTTTGAGGTGGTGACCATAGACCTCCATTATATGACTGACAGACAAGAACGGTTTGACCTAAAAATATCAAAATTGAAAATACTGTGGGAAACAAAGACACCTACATCTTGGATGCCCTTGAGGTAAGATAAAACATATCAAAAATTAATTTCGAAATGAACTATGCCTTTAAATTAATCCATGGTACATACAAGAGCCTGTGGTTGAAAGAAACACACACAGACACATTTCCCATTGTTGTGTGTCCCACAGCTTCGCCATTTATTCTCAGACAGTGTGAAACTCACCGCTCCTGCTGTTTCTTCCTACGCGGCCCTGCTTCTCTCTCTAATCTCGGCCTCTTTTTGTCTCTCTGTTGGTCTATTTTCTTCTCTCTCCAGGTGCTTGTTGCATTCATCAGTTTTTCAGAGACAATGTTGCTGGTGTACCTCAGCTACAAGGTGAGTGAAACCACCCATGTGCCCATGGCTTTATCACTAGTACTTGTACTGGCTTCAAAGACGCCTATAATTCCTGGAGAGAACTACAGTATCTGCCAGATTCAGATTCATTGCAATGCTTGAGCTTTTACCAAATAACCTTCTGTTTTGGGATATTTATCTTGCATCAGTATGTTTGTTTTGCATAGTCCAAAGAAAAAGAAGCTCACCACATAAATCTGGTTGCTCGGCAGTTGACTAAACGCACATGTGAGCATTAATGCCATTATGGACTTTTTAGAAAATCCGCTCAGACTACGTTACCTCGTGTAATTAATGTTCATGAGCAGAGCTGGCATGTTTAACATTGTGTCCCATTGACTTTTTAGATCCTTCCTTCATCCTGAATATATTAGATCTGCAGTCCCCAGAGTGTATTTGAGAAGGTCAGACAAAATGAGATGGAGAAACGGATAGAAACTGCCTTCTGATGGCAGCTGGCATGGTGTGGTTCCAAGATGTTCGTAGCCGGTATTTATGGTCATTAGTTGGTCATCATGTTGGTCGATCTGGTTAGGGCTGGCACGCCGTCTTAGACAAGCAACAAGTGAGCTACAGTGTGTCAGAAATAAGCTTAACCAACTTAAAGGGATAGTTCACTTTGAAAAAAAAAATTTGGTATGTTTTAGGTTATCTCGAGGGCATCCAAGATGGAGGTGTCTTTGTTTCTGCAGTGTTTTCAATTTCGATATTTTTAGGTCAAACCGTTATTGTGTATCAGTCATATAATGCAGGTCTATGGTCACCACCTCAAAGAGCATGCACAAAGAAGTCCAAATTAAACATGATTTAATGACTCGTAAATGTAAGTACACATTGATGGCCTAAGACACGAAACGAGCGGTTTGTGTGAGAAAACGAACAGTATTTATATCGTTTTTACCTCTTGTAAAACAAAACGAGCGGTTTGTGTGAGAAAACGAACAGTATTTGTATAGATTTTACCTCTTGTAAAATGAAATGTGCGGTATGTGTGAGAAAACGAACAGTATTTGTATAGTTTTTACCTCTTGTAAATGGAAACGAGCGGTTTGTGTGAGAAAACGAACAGTATTTGTGTAGTTTTTACCTGTTGTACCTCGTGTGGTTACAAGAGGTAAAAACGATATAAATACTGTTCGTTTTCTCTCACAAACCGCTCGTTTCGTGTCTTATGCCATTAATGTGTGCTTACATTTACGAGTCATTAAATCATGTTTAATTTGGAATTCTCTGTGCATGCTCTTTGAGGTGGTGACCATAGACCTCCATTATATGACTGACAGACAAGAACGGTTTGACCTAAAAATATCAAAATTGAAAATACTGCGGAAACAAAGACACCTACATCTTGGATGCCCTTGAGGTAAGATAAAACATCAAAAATCTTTTTCAAAGTGAACTATCCCTTTAAGAGTTGAGGAAGAGTTGTGTTGAGCTTGTTTTGAAGGGACTTAAGTGGTGAGAGAAAGCACAAGGCAGGTTTGTCATCCAGACACTGATAGTGAAGCGATCTCTTAGAGTCTATCTCCTACACCTTGTTTGATCCCCGTGCGATGAGTGCATACCTGCATCAACACATCTCTCTCACTTTTTGTTCTACTTTGATTTCTTTTTCTAAACCAACGAGGCTTTTTAACTCATATGGGTAAGACCTACACATATATCTTGCTTGTAAAACATGGCAGGCATTTAACACATTAATTGAGCCACGGGCTCAACTGCATCCGATAAATGAAACATATTTCCGAGGGGGGCGAGGAGAGTGACCTTTAACCCTGCTGTTTTTAATTGGTTCAAACCTTATCAAAGCAGCGATTTATCCTCTAAACCAAGAGGTCACACAAACACTAGTTTCGTGACCCTGACACAGGTATCCTTGTTTTCAGGGAAACGTTTGGGAGCAAGTGTTGCGCATTCCGTTCATTCTGGAGATGATCAGCGCTGTTCCTTTTGTGATCACTGTGAGTAAACTTGTTTTCATAGATCACTTATTATTATTATATTTTAACATTTTAAAATATTATTTTATTTTGTTTCTGACATTATACTAACAATTAAACAATATTTTGCTTCTGACATTATTTTGCATTCTTTTCTTAAAAAAATATTTAAAAATTTCTACACTAGATCTGGTCTAAGTGGGAGAATGTAGTCTATCCATTTTCTCCATAGCTTGATAGATTTCTCGGACTATAGCCGAAGATTCATCATTAACTTTTATTGGGAACACAATTCCCACCCACTCGTCAATTCCCGGTGTTTCAGGTTGCAACTAAGCTATCAACAGAATTCTCATTAAATATTTATCAGATGTATCTTTTGATTTAAGATTTGTAAGACCCAAGTAAAGAGCTAATAAAGTAAATTGGATGGGTTCCATAAATACACTCTCTAAACTCTTATTTCTTGCCAATATTTTTGAACTTTAGAGCATTCCCAGAATATATTCGAGCCACACATTCTCCAGCAGATTGCATTTTTGCTTTGATATCTCTTCTGCTCAGGAGTGAGGAACAATATAGTGACATTTTTGCAGCCAAATTCTCTCCAGGTTGAGGAATGTGTTGTCTTTCACTGTGATTTAAGCATATTTTCCCAATCTTCCTCTAACATTTCCAAATTTCCTTCCATTTCCCATTTATTTTTAGTGTATTGGGTATTTTCTTGTAGACTTTAATACAATTTTGTAATTATTTTAGTCATGTCGCCCGTTTTATAAATTGAAATAAACATTGCGAGAATATTGTTTTCCTTATCTTGCATTAGCATTTTTAACATTATTTTCATAACCGTCGTGGTTCTTAGATCATTTCAAGTCATTACCTGTGGTCAAGAGTTAATAATTTAGTTGAGCTGTGTGACTGATTCAGTGAGTTGCTTGCAGTGAGTCTTATAATTTACATACATACAGTACATATATATATATATATATATATATATATATATATATATATATATATATATGAAGAGTTCAGATGCAAAAGCCTGTAAATGCCATTTGAAATTTTCTTCTTTAATTATGATTTTTATCAAACTTGTATATTTAAGTTCAGTAATTTCACTTAAATAAAAATTAATAGGTAATTATCATTGCCATTTAAGTGAAATTACTGAACTTAAATATACAACCTTGATAAAAATGATCATTCTAGAAGAAAATTTCAAATGGCACTTAGAGGCTTTTGCATCTGAACTCTTCATATATATATACACTATACTATATATACTATATATATATATATATATATATATATACTATACTATATATACTAATATATATATATATATATATTTATAGTATATTTGCCATGAATCTAAAGATTCATCATTGGAGCAGCAGTGCTCCTGAAAAGCGGTGCTCAAACTCTATTGTGTTACAGCTGTATCACAAAACCCATTATATTGAAGGAAATTAAGTCTTTTTTTTCTTTTCAATCAGGTGATTTTGCCTTCCCTCAGAAACTTGTTCATTCCAGTTTTCCTGAACTGCTGGCTGGCCAAACACGCTCTTGAGAACATGATTGTAAGAAATGAAGCCTTTTCCCTGTCCTTTCTTCCTGTGAAATTGTGTTTGTGTGTATCCACTTTTATCACACAGCTCTTATTTTCTTCTCCATCTCTATCTCACTTCCTCCGCCTGCCTTGTTTTCCTGATTGTATCTGTCCTCTGCTATCGAAAGCTGGCTAGTTATCAAATTTGCCAGACCTCTTGATGATTGTTTTGGGTTTTTTTATCATAAGCACAAAAACAATAGCAGCACTATACTTTATTAAACGTCTCACTGTCTCTCATCTCTGCCTTCTTTCATCTCTGCTGTCCTTCATGTTGTTTTCAGAATGACCTGCACAGAGCGATTCAGCGAACACACTCAGCCATGTTCAACCAAGTGCTCATCCTCATCAGCACCCTACTCTGCCTCATCTTCACCTGGTGAGAGAAAAACACAAACAAGACTTGAAATTATTCATTTAATACTGTGTTTTTGGTACAAGAAATGTGTATAATAGCAGAATAGGATCTGTGGTGATGCTCTGTGTGTGTGACTGGTCAGGATTTGACAGGATGGTGTTTCCAAAGTGCTGATTAATTAAACCCCATGTTGTGTGTGTGTGTGTGTGTGTGTGTGTGTGTGTGTGTGTGTGTGTGTGTGTGTGTGTGTGTGTGTGTGTGTGTTCTCTTGTTCTGTGAGGTAAGTAGCAGGGAGGATGCTGAATGTACAGGGTAACGGTGCGTTTGTAAGACGGAATTGAGAGAATCAAATGACCTTTTCACCGCTGACAGCTGCGTGTTGACTCAACCGGCCTTTCAACACAGAGCAAACACACATATGCGCCACACACACCAGCGGTACTGAAAGATAACCCACACACGGGCACGCAAACACGGTTCACATCATGTCGTCACCACAGTTTATCGCAGTTTGCTCCAAACCATCCGGTGATGATAGAAACCATCCGGCTCGCCTGTCCACCTGAAAAGCCTTTCAATGAATGGTTTACTCAGAGTTACTTAGTATAGCACTTTTCCACACAACCGTGCTTTAAAATAACATCATAGATGTTTTGAAGAAAACAAGGCTAAAAAAACGATGGCAGAGTTAAAGGACAACTAAGGCGCAAAATGAACTTTGGTCTAATTACACATTGTTACCTAGTCAACCGTTATCTGAGATTTGTTTTCATGATTGCCGAATGTAAATAGTTTTATCTCTAAAAACAGTTTAGCCTATAACGCTAGTATAATGCTAGTATTGTATATAGAGCATAGATTAATGACAAATAAAAATCGCTTGTTATTACCACTAAAAAGGCTCAAAATAGCCCCACAGTTACACGACAGCAAAACAAGTGTCCCTACATTCAAACCGAAGCATTGAGAACTTTGTCAGTGTCCATACAGTTTAATAAGAAGATATTTTATACACATAGTAAATTTTGCGAATACAGGAAGAAGCCATCTTGGAAAAATAGTCTCTACCAGTTGATCTACGAACGCCGATCCAAGTGCGCTGATGAGATGTGAATAAGGTGATAAGGTGAGCGTGAGCAGTAGGCTACGTGTACATATTGAAGACAAGTAAACGGTTTGTGTTTGTGTTTCTTCTGGAAACAACGGACCATATGAGATTCTGCACAGTTCAGCGCACTTGGATCGGCGTTCGTAGATCGACTGGTAGAGACTATTTTTCAAAGATGGCTTCTTCCTGTATTCGCGAAGTTGATTGTGTGTATAAAATATCTTCTTATTAAACTGTATGGACACTGAAAACGTTCTCAATGCTTTGGTTTGAATGTAGGGACACTTGTTATGATGTCGTGTAACTGTGGGGCTATTTTGAGCCTTGTTAGTGGTAATAACAAGCGATTTTTATTCGTCATTACTCTATGCCCTATATACTAGCATTATACTAGCATTATAGGCTAAACTGTTTTTAGAGATAAAACTATTTACATTCGGCAATCATGAAAATAAATCTCAGATAACGGTTGACTAGGTAGCAATGTGTAATTAGACCAAAGGTTCATTTTGCGCCGGAGTTGTCATTTAACATTTTTGGATGAACTGTCTCTTTAAATTCAAAATCATTTTATCTCTCTTTTCCAGTATTTGCGGGATTCAGCACTTGGAACGAGCAGGAAACAACCTGACGCTCTTTGACTCTCTGTATTTCTGTGTTGTCACCTTCTCTACGGTGGGCTTTGGTGATGTCACACCACAGATCTGGCCCTCTCAGCTGCTCGTGGTCATCATGATCTGTGTAGCTCTTATAGTTCTACCAATACAGGTAAATAAAATACACGGTTGGCCCATTCCAACTCATCCTTTTAATCATATATGTATACAGTATATGTAGATCTAGTCTACCTAGACCAAATGCATTAACATTGCCGTATCCATTACCATGTTAAAACTATTTAGCTCTGGCTTTGTTTAGAAATATTTTCATTGGTCATATAGAACAAAAACAGGCATTATTGACCATATTTTGTCTAAATGTTTACTGATTGGTGCAAAAGTCATGGCAAAATAATGTTTTTCCAATACTGTGTTTTGAGGCTTCAACTAGAAAATAAATTAATATTTAAAATATTATTTTTACTTTAAAAAGTTAGTTTTAAAGTTAAATTAGTTGGACATTTGTTACAGTTTTGTGACATTTTCTAATTTGTTGATAATCTGATGATTTCTTAGCCTTACAGTTTTGACATAAGTAATAGTTACTAGGGCTGGGTAATAAATATCGATTTCTCGATATTAATCGATTCTCATTTTTACGAACCGATATCGATTCTTAAGTCTCAAGAATCGATTAGTCATCCTGTTTCATTTGAATGAATGGGACATTGTATCGCGGCTGCGCGCATCCAAAAAATCGCAATAATCTTTGTCCTTTGCTACTATTGATATAAACAAAGTCTCAATTTTCAAATTACGTCCATTTTCTTTAGAAATTCAAAAACATAAATAGAGTTTTGGCGCTGTGGCGTGAGATCGCTCTGACGGAGCTCTAGAGAAGCAGCAGCGCTGATCTCTCTTCCGGGTTAATAATACCAATCACAGCGCGAAATGGGCTCTATGCACGGCGGTATTTCCGGTGAAGCATTAGGGATGCTTGATAACTTCCGCCGATCGTAGAGTCCAATGCAATACCGAGAATTTATATTGAATTTTATACTCCATGGTTATACTAACGAAACGTTAGTCACAAAAACAGATAAAACAGACACCCCTCGTTGTGTTTATGCTTCTTTTTAAAATTATATTAAGTAAACATAACTATATATAAAATTACATCTAAACGTATGTACGTTTCGTTTCAATGACGGGAGGACAGTAAATTTTGAAGACTCTGCCATAATCCCGTTTTCCTCGGTTCTCCTCCGCTTAAATCTCCACAACCGGAAATGGACGAGCATCCTTGCGTCAAATGCGGAACTTGTGCGTGCATATAGCCCATAAACATGAATGAGCATCTGAAAGTGTGTTAAAGATAGAGTACAACTTATCGAAATCCGTATCATGTCACATTGATTCGCTCAATCAGCGTTTCAACCGTGGAAAGACGTCAGTTAAACAGCTTGTAATCAATGTCATCGTCATATTTACCTCAGAAAACCCACATAAACTCATTAGTCAGCTAGAAAAAAATAACTTTGGAGAGGAGCATTTTGCTAAATATATACACCATATTACATATGCATTATAATCTTAATGTTCTTCAATATTTAATGCATATTTGAATAAATCTGGCAAGTTTTTATGACAGCCACCATTTAAATGTTTATATTTCATATAATCTTCTTATTATAAAAATAAATAAAAGTGTAATTTAAGTGATTCATTCATTATTACCTTCTAGGCTAATGAACCCTAGTAGGCTACAACTAGACTCCCACAGTTCCAAAATAATCGATATCGAATCGTAATCGAAATCGAATCGAATTGCAAGCTTGTGAATCGAAATCAAATCGAATTGTGAAATTTGTCTCAATACCCAGCCCTAATAGTTACCTTTCCTAATGTCATCTTAATAGAATATATCCGTTCCACTTAGTATTCACATCGAGCTCTTTGAAAGAACTTTGAAATTGTTTCATTTAGGCAAATTTTGCGAATTACTTTGGAACATTTACAGAGAATCTAGTGAATGAAAGGGAGTAATTTATCTTAACTTTGCTCGGTTTCCTCAACAGAAGTTCTGCATTGGTCTTTCACATAAAATGATTTCAAAAAGGTTTTCCGCTTTTACTTTCAACTGTCGGACATTTTATGCAAATATTATGTGGTTATGATGACAAAAGCACTGAGCCGAATCACTTTTGTGTTTAAGGCCCCGTGAGACGCGACACAGCTGGTGATTTTCACAGTCTGACACACACACACACACACAAACGCTTCCATGTACACAGTGGTTTTAATGAAACGCATTTCACATCCCATTTCAACATATACCTTGTATTGGTTGACACACACACACCCAAACAGGTCTCACACACACACACACACACACTTACTCACGAGCACAAGCCTCCCGTGGGGCTGAGGAGAGAATGAGATGAGAGCGGGCTTGTCTTTCATGTGTGATGTGAGGGCTACCCTGCCAGCTTCCTCTTCGGGACTCTGCTATGTTTCCGTCACACAGGAAATGGCAGTGGCTCTGGCGAGGCCCTCCTACTCTTTTCATCTACAAATACCAGCTGACATTTACTGCTGCCCCCCACACGCAGCTGGTGCTCGAGCGTTACGGTCGAGCCTGTGTTTGTTTCTGGCCTGACAGGGGAAATCTCCGTTACGGCCCGCTGAGAGCCATCCTACGGTTCAGAATGACAGCAGCCGCCATATCCCATCGCTCCCTGTGCACACATCGCAATGAGTGTTTTTTTTTTTTCTTCGTAGCTTTTGTATTGCAATTAAACAGTGCCAAATCTCAATTCCCAACTACCCTTTGCCTGAAAGCCAATGAATAGCAGACATTACCCACGACTGCTAATAAAACACTTTGCTGAGAATCCCTTTATGTTCTTAGTAGCACTTCTGTCAGACATTTACGCCTGCTGTTAAACATGCATCTGAGCGCTTTTATACAGGAATATATCCTCACAGCCAATATCACCCACACAATCCACAACAGCAGCCTTATTTTTGCAGAAACATGATCAATAACAGTATCCACTAGGGGTGTAACGATACCCTCATGTCACGATTCGATACATATCACGATACGATATTCTGTTCTGTTGATTGAAATGCTAAATTTTATTACATTGTGGTTGTAAATGAATAAGGGGCCGTTCACATATCGCGCCTAAAAACGCGTAGAAAACGCTAGGCGCACGCGTTCTCCTTTTTCCAAAGAAGCGCTAGGGCGGTTGCACTCCGGAGGCGTCTGTCGTTGCTAAGCAACCATCAGCTGCGCTCTCCATTACATGAAGGAAATTTCAGCAATGGATTTCCACCACCGAAAAACCCTTGCTGTAACTCTGTTACAAGATTTATTTACTCAGAAAAGTTAAAAAACGCCGCAGTGTTTGGGTGCACCCCATACTACAAAAACGCAAGAACCATGGGGAATTTCACCAGCTGATTCAGGAACTCCGCCTGGACAATGGGAGGTTCAAAGCCTATTTCAGAGTGGACAAGGACCAGTTTGATTATATTTTAAGAAGTGGTAACAAAAATGGCGAGGAAGCTGATTGTTTGGTTCGTGTCACGTGACCTACGGTGCGCTTGCGGCATTCTGAAAAGTTGAGATGTTTTTATCTCGATGCGGCGCGGACGCGCCTGGAAAAAACGAGCGCGTCGCACCGCGACCGCGTCGCTTCCATTATGAGCGCGCATACCGCGCGCCTACATTTGAAATAACGAACTTGAGCGCGCAAAAGACGCGATATGTGAACCGGCCCTAAGATTGGACTTTGGTGCTGGTAACCCAATGCACAGGACAATGGTATAAAAATATTCATGATTCTGACGCTTAAAATACACGATTATTTTAGACGAATAGCCTTGCACTCTGACGCTTACTAGATACATTTAAAATAATGTAGACCAGATTTTACACAAATATCCCCCCATTGCATTAGCATACATTATATTCAACATTAAATATAGTAGTACTGACACAACTCTGAAAACTCGCACTGGAATTTTTATTTTGGGTGAAGTATCCACGATACATATTGTTGCATTTTTATATTGCGATATATTGTGACACGATATATTGTTACAACCCTAGTTTCCACACAAGCAATCCGAAGCAATATTCAAGACTAGTCAAACCTAGACCATTATATGAATCAGAATTTCTTCATTTCACAGAGCGTTATTTCAGGTTCTGATAAGCCACGTGTAGTCTGATGTCTCAATGAAGCCTCGTTCCCTGTAATTTCCCATAGTTTGAGCAGTTGGCTTTCTTGTGGATGGAGCGACAGAAGTCTGGAGGGAACTACAGCCGCTATCGTGCCCAGACCGAGAAGCACGTGGTGTTGTGCGTCAGCTGTCTCAAGATAGATCTGCTCATGGACTTTCTCAACGAGTTCTTTGCGCACCCCAGACTCCAGGTAAATATGTGTGTGTGTTTATGTTAATATGAGCTTGCTGTGCGTTGTTAATCCTCTTCAGGATTGCTGGAAGCTTGTACTAGGATTAACTGAACACCAATTTAATTGAACCAAGCCATTTATGTTTGATACGGGTTGCAGTGTCTATCTGGCAACGTTTTTCCACTAACTTGCGCTCATCATGTCCAGGATTACTATGTGGTCATCTTGTGTCCTGCTGAAATGGACGTCCAGGTGCGGAGAGTACTCCATATCCCACTGTGGGCTCAGAGGGTCATCTACCTGCAGGGATCTGCTCTCAAAGACCAGGATCTAATGAGGGCAAAGTAAGCCTGCTGAAAGAGTACAAATCAATTGTGTTAAAGGCCACTTAATCCTAACCCAAGTAGTTAGTTATTCTTACTCAGTGCTTTAATGGATAATTGCATTGTAACAAGGCCACCTTAACATAAAATGTAACCCATTATATTTTAGTTTAGCATAAATACCTGTCAGTATACATTTGCCAGTAGTACACATTAACAATATTTCAAAGTCAATTGAGGTAATTATGAAATTACATATAAAGAAGTCCTACTCGAGTGGGTCAGAAACACTTTAATATAAGTGAAAGTATTCTTCTGAAGTATATTATTTCCTTAATGAGTAAGTGTACTTCTTTTCCACAAGGGACATCATGACCTACTATGCCTCAAGGGTACAAGTCTTTATAAATACTCCATTTCGTTAACTCATAATCAATAAATTTCCATCATTTTGAGCACTCTCTTCAGCCGAGTCACTGCAATGGTGACTGGAGGCTGGAGGACTGGAGTAAAAACATGTATTACTAAATGTTTGTAGCACATCACACTTCATTTGGTGCCTGATTTGAAATTATGAAAATTGTTGTGTGGCGTATTTAGTTCTAATCATGAAAATATGATCTCTTATATAATCACATTATATTATCAAAGCTTAAATGGTCAAACATTTCCCTTTCTCTGTGTTTTCTGATATCTACCATATCAGCTTGACTGGTTAAGAAAAGCTTTTTTCGATTAACTACAAATCACACTTATTTATTTTTGAGGAATGAGTTGAAGATGTTTTTGTGGTGATGCCTCAGATGTCAGATGAACACCTTTGGAAGTATTCGCTTGTATCTTTTACGTTCTCTGTTTTTCTCTTCTGTCCACTCTCTTTGTCTCCCTCTTTCCCCCCTGTTATGGAACCTGACCCTGTTTCTCTGGTCTCTTGTATCCTCTTCATCGTGATCGGCTGCAGGATGGACGATGCAGAGGCCTGTTTTATCCTAAGCAACCGGTTTGAAGTGGACCGCTTTGCCGCTGTATGTTCCCCTCCAGCTCAATTTTCTCACCTTTTTTCCCCATTCTGATTCTCTACCCTCTCATTTCTGTCCTTAAAATAGGAAGCAGCAGATCCGAACAGCCCATGTATTAGCCTGATTCTATTTTGCTCTTTCACATCCTCCTTACTGATTTTTGACAGTTCAACATGAAATTATTTGAGAAAGTAGTAGTTGGATGCATCTCACAAAACCCGTCAAGAAAATGTCAGGGTCTTATCAAAAGAAATAAATGATAATTTTATATTAAGCATCAAGAAAAGGAGACATTTTGCATTGTGACATTCATTCTTTTCTCCGCTTACTGTAATATATACCATCAATAAAAAATGTTTTGTTGCAGTTATATATAAAAAAAAAACTGTCAAAAAGGGTTGCAGGAAAAAAAAAGTTGAGGCAGGATCTAAGCACATCAGTGATTTTTATTAACAATAAAAAAATACGAAGTAAAGTACCGTGAACATTGAAAAAAAAAACAAACCACCAAACGACTAACAAGAACAGAAAAAATGTAAGATTCAGGGTACGTTTACACGACAACGATATACTTTTCTGCGTATAGATACACTATTGTTAAAACAATCCCCATTCACTTGGATCTGCAAAAACGACTAAAAACGTTGTATTCTCCTGCCAGGCCATTAGATGGCGATAAAACACTATAGACGAAACAATTAACGTCTTTAGAGATTTTTTGTTGTTTGGAGTTTTCAAAAACTTGCACTTTTAAACCCATTTCAAAAGTTTGCATTTTCAGGCACTCCAAAAAAAAAAAACGCTTAAAGTTTTACGTTTTTAGTTGAAAACGGTGTCGTGTAAACAGCACATGAAAATGAAACTAAACTAATACAATACAACGAATGTGACAAAAATCTAGGCCAGTAATTCTCAAAGTGTGGTCCGCGGACCACTAGTGGTCCGCCATCGCCCCCTAGTGGTCCGCGAAAAGATGACCTAAACTAGGCAAGTGTTTACAAAATCGTCACTTTTTCGCACGTACCAGTGTGATCAGTCTTCTTGGCTGGTCCCTGGAGCATACGATCACACCGGTGTGATTAGAATGTTCAGTGCTTCACGTCAGCAACTGCTAAATTCAAACTTGCTCTCGCGCGCTGGCTGGCGCTAAGCCAGAGACGGACGCACTCAGAGCTGTCATATAACACAACTGTTGAGTGTTTTCAATGTTTATTTCAGGTTTCAGACATTTAAATACACATAAGTACTAGCAAAACAATGATTTTGAGTTTGTAAAATACACACTGATGTCTATGGAAGCGGCAATAATCCTTTCAGTTATAATAAGACAACAACACGTTTTATTCATATCAGATACACATTGTGTAAGTAGCTTTACATTTGACCCTATTCTTCTCCCAGTTCACCAGCCACTTACTATCATGTATTTCGTGAGAAGTGGAGGAATTGACGTTGTAAATCCAACAATCTGATTCTCTGAACTGAAAAAGATCTAAAAGCTCAACTAACGCGATCGTTATAAAGATGTTTAAACCATGTCAAACCCATCCACTTGCACATATTTGACAATCGGAATATCAGTGTTTCATGTTATAGCTAATACATTTATGAATATTTTTAACAAAAAATGAAAAATGACACAAAAGCAGATCATCCTTCATTCAGCGCCGTGTTTTGGTTGTGCTGTGTCACGCGACAAGCAAAGACGCGTCACCATGGAAACATTAAAGTGGCAAGTTCTAAATAACGGTCGCCTTGAAAAACTCACGCTGGGGGGTCAGTTAGAATATTTTAAACTTACGTGTGAAAGGGTTAATAAACTTAATTACCAAGCTTTAGCTTTCAGTAAATAAAAAAATTATTCATAGGCAAAATCAACCTATATCAGTTGACCCTATGTTCACTTTCTTCACTGACAGAAAAATGAAAAGCCTATATCAGTCAAAGCTCAGTTAGGAGTTAAATTTAAACTTAAATTTAGCTTATCCTTACAACTTTTTTGTTTGTTTTTTTTTGTGTGTGTGTGTGTGGGGGGGGGGTGTTAGAGTGGGATTTTGTTAGGTGGTCCTCAGAAAAAAAATGGAAGATAAAGTGGTCCTTGGGCTGAAAAAGTTTGAGAAACACTGATCTAGGCTATATATTGCAAAATGCAAAAAAAAAAGTTAAAATTGCAATAATGTGCCGGATGTAAGATTGTGGCCAAAAATGGTACTGCAATCACTTTCAAATTACTATAGAGCGACGGATCCCCTCCCCCTCCCCCCTGACTACAGGTTGCCAGATAGGGCCATTTTATGATTATTTGAAATAAATTTCTTATGTACAGCTCCTTTAATAATGATAAAATAATATTACATTGCAAAAAACAAAACAAAACAAAACATAAAAACGTATAAAAGTACCAAAATTAGGCTTTATTTTCGAATGCAAAATATAATTTTCCATTTTTTTTTTTTGCGTTGAAAATGAGACCTGTACAGGTTTTAATGAGATTCACCTTCACTAGTTATCAGGCACTTTAGATGTTAATTTCTCTGTAAAGAGGGTAATGGCTGGTACATAAGAGCAGACACTAGGACTAATGGTATATTTCTGTTCATATCTCTCTCTTTCTCTCTGTTTTTCTTTGACACAGGACCATCAGACCATCCTCAGAGCATGGGCCGTGAAGGACTTTGCCCCAAACTGCCCTCTCTATGTGCAGATCCTCAAACCCGAGAATAAGTTCCACATCAAGTTCGCAGGTCAGCGTGCAAAATGTGTTTCTCTCAGGGGTGCAGGTGTGGAGAGTGGAGGATAGTGTGATATTTGATGCACTTCGTACATGTGTGAGTGTGCTGAGAAGCAGGCGATCAGCCAGTCTTTTTCACTCTGAAGCTGCGTCCTTCAACAATAAACCCACTTCATATCCCTCTTCAACTGTGTAAATGCGAATAATGCTTTATATTTCCCCAGTCCACCCATTCCTCACAACATGCTATGCTGTGATGGATGAATTATACGTGTGAAGCCCAGTATTATTACAGAGTGTCTTTTTACGCCAAGTGCAAATAGCCCGCCTTGTTGGCAGAGGCTTTTTACACACTAACTCCGCCCACCAATGTCTGGCTGAGCCAGACAAAATTACAAAAGAAATCCCACAAACAACACAATCAGTGGTGTGGCGTTAGCAAGATCGACTCGAGTTCGAATCCGCCTTTTCCAAACTCATTCTTCTCCCTTTTCCCATCGCATATCAGCTCGGAGAGGCATTTATTTTAAATAAAATGAGGAAAATATTCAAAAAGTGGAAATAAAGCACCTAATGGGTATTTAATGTCCCAATAAAGCAGCATCCATTTATAATTTTATACATACAATCATTTACACTCATTATGTTGCTATTATGGACTACATTATGCACTGAGCTTCATGACGCACTTTTGTTTTAAACTCATTTATTTCTGGTTGTGAATATTTTCAGTGTGCTGTAATCACCTAGTTGACTAATTGAAGTATTTTTCAAAAATACAAACAAAATAAACATGTATGCACTATTTAACTAAAAGATAATAATAATAATGATTAAAAAATACTAACAAAATAAACATTTATGCACCATTTAAAACAAGTAAAAAACACAAAATACCAAATACAAACTGAATAAATAGTTATGGACCAATACAATTAACTAAAAAATTGAGATTTATGCTCTATTGAACTAAAATGAAATTAAAAAAAAAAACTGAATTTCAAACCCATAATACAAAATGAAATAACTTTTGGCGGCTGGCTCATGGTCACCCAGGCTGTTTTTTGCAGAGCCAGTCCCTCGCATATTCAAAAGCCCGGAAAATCAAGCACACTTGGGATGAGGAGAGAGTTTGGAGAACTCAAACCTCAAGGCATTGCTGCACAATGTTTGTCACAAGCAATTGTACCTGTCCCGTCCGCCTTCAATTCAGCTGTCTCAGTCACCCGCTGAGAATGGATTGTGTTGGAAAAGGGAAGAAAATTCATTCTCTTCACCATCCACATGCTTCTGTTGCACTACAACCTCACCTGTCACATCTCCTTTCCATTTGGAAACCAACTGGATCTGTTTATTCAATTGACCTTCCTTCCTTGAACGGTTTTGCGGAATTACTAACTCTAGATAGCACTAATAACTTAGTAGCTAGTCGGGAGTAGTTTCCTGTTTAGGAAGATGCCGTTTCAGTGGTTTTCTCAGCCCCGCGGGATTCATACAAAAATTGCAGAAAGTTTCTGGCATATTGCACATCTCAAGTTTGCAGGATTGCTTATGTGTGTGCGTGGGGGTTATTATAGAGTGATTACCAGGAAATGGTGGAGAATTTCACGGTTCAGCAGGATGTGAGGTGAGGCAGTTATTAGAGATCCAGATTTTGCTCCAGTGAGCAGCAAATAAAAAATGAGAAGACTTACGTGAAGACTCACTTTCTCACTGACTTGTACAGTCCTGTGGTTGTGATGCTGAGAACATGATGGTCTGCCCAGCATGTGGTGACGACGCTTGTTTTAAGGTCAATGAGAAGGCGGAGGAGGAATAGACACAATGAGTCAGTGGTTGAGGCAGCTGCAGAGTCAGTGAGCTTTACCCAGAGATCAACCACAGATTACACAGTTTCACACAATCTGTCAGTCGAACAAAGTCACTATAGAGTGCTGCAATCAAAGGAGAACGAGAAATGAGTCTGGTGTTCACTAATTCCTGTATCTGAAACTGAAGAATGGTGTCTCGCTTCCTTGCTGCCATGTCTGTCATAGACATAACACTAAAATGCATGACCCAGAAAACATACAGGTGCCTAAAGTGGCTCAAGAAGACCTGCATATGATTCAGTGTTTTTGCATGTTTATTTTAAGTGTAATGACAATCTGCCCCCTGTATCTTCAGTGCCCCCTATATCTATATCACACCCTGTATCTATAGCACCCCCTGTATCTATAGCACCCCCTGTATCTTCAGCGCCCCCTGTATTTATAGTATAGCGCCCCCTGTATCTTCAGCACCCCCTGTATCTACAGTATAGTGCCCCCTGTATCTATAGTGCCCCCTGTATCGCTAGCACCCCTGTAATTCTAGCGCGTATCTTCAGAGCCCCCTCTACTTTTAGGGTCCTCTGTATCTATAGCACCCACTGCATCTTCAGTTTCCCCTGTATCTCTAGCACCCCCTGTATCTCAAACACCCCTTGTATCTCTAGCGCCCCTGTATCTTCAGTACCCCCTGTATATATAGCGCCTCATGTATCTCTAGCTCCCCCTGTATCTATAGTGCTCCCTCTATCTCTAGCGTTCCCTGTATCTATAGCTCCCCCTGTATTTCTAGCACCCCCTGTATCTTCAGCGCCCCCTCTATCTATAGTGCCCCGAGTATCTGTATCTCTAGCACCCCCTGTATCTCTAGCACCCCTTTTATCTGTATCTCTAGCACCCCCTGTATCTATAGTGCCCCGTGTATCTTCAGCGCCCCCTGTATCTTCAGTGCCCCCTGTATCTTCAGCGCACCCTGTATCTCTAGCGCCCCCTGTATCTCTAGCGCCCCCTGTATCTCTAGCACCCCCTGTATCTGTATCTCTAGCACCCCCTGTATTTATAGTGCCCCGTGTATCTTCAGCGCCCCCTGTATCTATAGTGCCCCGTGTATCTGTATCTCTAGCGCCCCCTGTATCTCTAGCACCCCCTGTATCTGTATCTCTAGCGCCCCCTGTATTTATAGTGCCTCGTGTATCTTCAGCGCCCCCTGTATCTATAGTGCCCCGTGTATCTTCAGCGCCCCCTGTATCTCTAGCTCCCCCTGTATCTCTAGCACCCCCTCTATCTTCAGCGCCCTCTGTATCTCTAGCTCCCCCTGTATCTCTAGCACCCCTCTATCTTCAGCGCCCCCTTTATCTCTAGCGCCCCTGTATCTCTAGGGCCCCTGTATCTCTAGCGCCCCTGTATCTTCAGCTACCCCCTGTATCTTTAGCGCCCCCTGTATCTATAGTGCCCTGTGTATCTTCAGCGCCCCCTGTATCTCTAGCACCCCTTGTATCTGTATCTCTAGCACCCCCTGTATCTCTAGCGCCCCCTGTATCTATAGCTCCCCCTGTATCTCTAGCGCTCCCTGTATCTCTAGCACCCCTTGTATCTGTATCTCTAGCACCCCCTGTATCTCTAGCGCCCCCTGTATCTGTATCTCTAGCACCCCCTGTATTTATAGTGCCCCGTGTATCTTCAGCGCCCCCTGTATCTATAGTGCCCCGTGTATCTGTATCTCTAGCGCCCCCTGTATCTCTAGCACCCCCTGTATCTGTATCTCTAGCGCCCCCTGTATTTATAGTGCCTCGTGTATCTTCAGCGCCCCCTGTATCTATAGTGCCCCGTGTATCTTCAGCACCCCCTGTATCTCTAGCTCCCCCTCTATCTCTAGCTCCCCCTGTATCTTCAGCGCCCCCTTTATCTCTAGCGCCCCTGTATCTCTAGCTCCCCCTGTATCTTCAGCGCCCCCTTTATCTCTAGGGCCCCTGTATTTCTAGCGCTCCCTGTATCTATAGCTCCCCCTGTATCTCTAGCGCCCCCTGTATCTATAGTGCCCCGTGTATCTTCAGCGCCCCCTGTATCTCTAGCGCCCCCTGTATCTCTAGCACCCCTTGTATCTGTATCTCTAGCACCCCCTGTATCTCTAGCGCCCCTGTATCTTTAGCACCCCTTGTATCTATAGTGCCCCGTGTATCTTCAATCTTCAGCGCCCCCTGTATCTCTAGCACCCCCTGTATTTATAGTGCCCCGTGTATCTTCAGCGCCCCCTCTATCTATAGTGCCCCGTGTATCTGTATCTCTAGCGCCCCCTGTATCTCTAGCACCCCCTGCATCTGTATCTCTAGCGCCCCCTGTATTTATTGTGCCCCGTGTATCTCTAGCGCCCCCTGTATCTATAGTGCCCTGTGTATCTTCAGCGCCCCCTGTATCTCTAGCTCCCCCTGTATCTTCAGCGCCCCCTTTATCTCTAGCGCCCCTGTATCTCTAGGGCCCCTGTATTTCTAGCGCTCCCTGTATCTATAGCTCCCCCTCTCTCTTCAGAACCCCCTCTATTTTTAGGGCTGTCTGTATCTATAGCGCCCCCTGCATCTTCAGTGTCCCCTGTATCTCCAGCGCCTCCTGTATCTATAACTCCCCTGTATGTCTAGCGCCCCTGTATCTATACCTCCCCTTTATCTATAGCGCCCCCTGTATCCTCAGCACCCCCTGTATCTTCTGGGGGCACTGAAGATACAGGGGGTGCTGAGGATCTATAGCCCCCTGAAAAAAAGCACACTTCTTTTTCTCAAGGGTATGTATAAAAAAAGGGCTCAAATCTAGTCATATATTAATACTACAAATGTAAAAATATTGATTTTTTTTTTACCTACTTTCAAATAAAAATTTGGATTGTCAAGTTATTTAATATTATTCTGAAAATTAAAATATGAAGGCGTCTTGGCAGACCACAGACAGGATGCCATAAAAATATTGGGCACACTTATCTGCTTCTATTATATGTGCAACATGTTGGATTATGAATAAGAATGTGCATCTATTATTGAGAGTTATCGTTAAAATGACACTTGTGATATATTTACTTACGTTTCCTATCAGTCAGAGGTGGTTATACCCTGTGGGCGGCATGGCGTCTTGGTGGTTTACTTCTTGACAGTTCGGCAGAACGCATCAAAATGCAGTTTTTCTATGCGTGGCAGACATGTTATGACACTGCTTGGAA